CTTAGTGCTGCGCTGACGTTCGTTAAGGATATATTTATGTAGATATAATTCACAAGTTCTGTCAAATAAAATTAGTAAATAATTATTATTTTTTTTTACATTAATCTAAAGGGGGAGGAGGAGGTGGTACCGATGTGTAAGGAATTCAGCTCATTACTTATAAATCTCAAAGACGAGTAATAGTGGATTATTAATGAAATATTTACGATAAAAATAACATAACTGAGTGGGGTTGCGAGGTCTTCTTGTGTGTTTTCTGCGTTTTTATCGAAAGATCAGCGATGAGGAACACAGACACAAGTCACTGATTGTGAGGAGGTTTGAAGGTGTTAGTCGCTAACTATTAAATCTTATTTTAAGGTGTAAGGATTTTTTTTATTGCCCTTTGTCCAATTAGCCAGATGTCACGTTGGTTTTGCACTGCCAGAATATATATCACATAAGTTTGCGATGTGTGACGTACTTGGCAAGAGGTTCAGCTTGAACGTTTCCTGGCCTAAACAGCCTATGTACTGATGTAATTAGTTCAGTAAACTGACGTGTTGAAGAATGAGACACTTGTGCTACATTTCTGAACCTTTATTACGGAAACGTTTCGCTAGTCAGTGGCTGAGCTGAACACATCGACTTCAGGCAGAGGGACTCATTACATTGTATGGGACAAAGACACTTATGTACAGTTCAGGACATTTATTAAAGGAAACGTTTCGCCACGAGTGACTTCTTCAGCAAGTTTTTATCCCCCTAATTCTACGCCTTCCTAGAGAGTGCAGATTCAGTGTCCTCAGTCTATCCTCGGTGGAAAGATTTCTGATACATCAGATCAACTTCGTCATCCTTCTCTGTATGTTTTCCAGGGTGTTTATGTTCATTCTGTATTACGGTGACCAGAACTGTGCAGCTTAATCTAAATGAGGCCTGTGCAAGAAAGGTAAACAGTACCGACAAGATTAAAGTTAAGACATGTGCAACATCTGGGTTTCTGTATTGATAAAGTCTACAATAAAGATACCCAGATGTTGCACATGTGTCTTAAATGAAGCCTAACCAACGATAAAGTTGAAGAATAGCCTAAGGACTCCTGTCATTTACACTTCTTGACATGAATCGACAAGTTGAAGAATGACACTTGTACATATTTGGGAATCTTCCCTGAGGAAACTTTTCTCAGGCTGAGGGACTGATTATTTAAAAGTCCTCATCTTCCAATGTTATTCTCTGTACCGGACTGAAGAAGCCACTGGTTGGCGAAACGTTTCCTCAATAAAGATTTCCAAATGTTGCACAAGTGTCTCATTCTTCAACTAGTTAGTTTTCTCAAACATTTTCTTCACATCAGACAGAGCGACTAAGAAAAGTCTCAAATGAGAAATAAGTTCGTAAGTGATTTAAACTGCAGTTATTTCAAAGAAGAATTTAGATAAGGAGTCAGGAAAGGTGAGGAGGCGGTGTGTAAGGTGTCCAGCTCAGTGTCCTCAGGTCTCAATAGACTGGGAAATAATCTCTCGATCAAGGATAAGCCACAGTTCATTAATATTAATGGATGTGTAATGTTTTTGCGACTCACTGGTGAAACTTTTTTTAAACAGGTTTTAGCCTTCTATTCAATGAGATGTTTTTAGTAAGACTGGTGTTTAAAATTTTTGTTTACCTAGGACTATCGTAGTGTGCTAAGGCAAAAAGAAAACGGTGATCAGTAAACCCGAAAACTTATTAGTAAGGAACTAATGGGTCTTTGGGTTTACAAATGTTGCTAAGTTGTGCTGTTCAGAGGCTCCATATATTGAATGTTAAATACATGATTAGTCAAGTATTTTTCGTTCTGTTGTCTGTCAGTTAATATCATTCCCAGTGGGTATTCATCAGATATTCCCACAAGTAGGAGGAAGAGAGGAGAGGAACTGATATCAATGGTCAAGATGATCGCCTCTTCTTAGTTGTCAGCCTCCCCAACATAACTATCTGTAAACCAACTCGTCACAAAGTCCACGCACCCTACTAATTTTCCTTTAAGCATAGTTAATAGTTCAGTCATCAACCCGGCAGCAGTCAACGAACGTAACTCTCAGCTCAGCTACCCAGTTCAGAAACAACTCGACCAACACAGCTGCCTCTCGACTCAAGTACTGTTCTATTTAGCCAGCTACCAACCCATTAATTCAAACCATCAACCTATTTTTAATCAGAACAGTTCAATCAGCGCACCGACTTCATTACATCCCTATTGAACGAGCTTCCAGCCAACTAATCCAGTTACAAGCATACCAACCCAGCTACAAGTCCAATCCAGCTCTCAGTCCACTGACTGAGATTCTAGCCATGTTACTGGTCCCCTCAACATCACCCAACTATGGTATCAGCCCACCTAGGTCCCAACCCACTACTGCAAATACCAACCAACATTGCCAGCTCTTGATCAGTCTAGATACCAGCGCATCAGTCCATCACTGTTTACACTATCTTAAGTAGACAAGTCCTTCAAACAGGGAGAATCTATTCCCCACAGAACGGAGAGAGTTCAGGCCTATCTCAAGCCAGTGTTAAAGCTATCACGTTACTACACTAAACACGGTACCATGCCGCATATGCCTGCTAATTTCAAGACTAGGTCGCCATGGGTTATACTCCGCCCTTCCACTCTGCTCTGTGGGGGTTGTTTATAATCACGTTATTACTATTTCATGATTATTATATTCATGTGGCAGCGTTAAACCCATATAGGTTATACAACGCCTGGAGGAATGAGAAACATTCAGGTTCAATCCAAAGAACACTGGTCCAATTTCTTAGATCAAAAGGTTTTCACCGGCATCAATAAACCTTTCTGGAGAGGCAATATTTCGTGAATCAAGGAGAATCTATATTTAATGGGCTATTATAAAGGCCATGTGGGAGAAATACCACAAAGTAAAGGTCCTACATATTAAAATCCTTTGGATTACCTGTACACACAATATCCAATTAAAATGAAATTCCAACTCAGCTGTCATCTTACTAGTCTAGGCACCAGCACACTAACTTCAATACCAGTTTGCTAAATCAGTTCAAGATCCATTTCCTGGCTCTCTAATTTAAATATTTACCAAACGTCACTGATACCAAGTTAATTTAGGTATCAATTAGGAGACGGGTGTCTGCAAGGCAACAGATGTATGGTTGACTGCCTTTCAATCCTCGTCTACCTGGAGGTTGTTCCGGGGGTCAACTCCCCTTGCGGCCCAGTCCTTGACCAGGCCTCCCAGTGGATCAGGGCCTAATCAACCAGGTTGTTACTGCTGGCCGTATGCAATCCAACGTACGAACCACAGCCTGGCACTCTAGCACTGCACAGTGTATCAGGGCTTAAAAATCTATGAAAACCATTAACAAAAGTTTATGGAACGAGTCAGGATGTACGAAACCTGCAGTTGACATTTCACAACATGTGAATAATGGAAAGACAGACATACAATACCGACAAGATGAAGTTAGACACTTGTGCAACATCTGGTATCTTATTAGACGTTTCGCATCCAGTGGCTTTATCAATAGATTCTGGGACAAATAGAAACAGAAGAATATATCAAAAGATGAGTAATCATTTCCCTACCTTGAGGTGGTTTTCAGCACCGTGGTTGTGATTCTGAAGCACGGGTTAGGTTGTTAGGTAATTGTCAGGAAACAGGACAATGTTTCCGACGCGGTCTTAGTCAGAGATGACCGCTTTGGAGATTTTGGTCACTGACGAGGCCTTCCGCTGGCTTACGTCCACACCCTTTAAATTATGGTAATTTATACCATGTTAGTTGAAGCACGGGTAAAGAGACTGGAGCTTATATAGGCGTCAGTGAATAGGGACGTATGGCAGACGAGGGCATAGTCACTGGTAGGCGGGATTCCCCAGTGGAAGTAGGTCCTACCCAAATCAATGGGTTAGTTGTAGAAGCCGTGCAGAAGGTCATGTAGATGTCCTCTGAACCAAGATTCCATGACGTTGCAGTGCCTGACAAGTTGTGCAAGACAGGTATACAGTTATATAGTTCTTCTGTCTTCTAATTATATCCAAGAATTTCTATTGATAAAGCCACTGGATGGCGAAACGTCTACAATAAAGATAACCAGATGTTGCACATGTGTCTTAACTTTCATGTGAATAATACTGAATAATTTTACAAATTTCCTGTTAAAGACAGAGCTTGCTATATACAATGGATTTATTTTCTGATGCCTTAAATTCTTTTCGATTCAAAAATTATTTGAATTAATGACATCGCTTCACACAAGTATGTTTAACTGGTTTGTATTTACACTAACAGTGTAAAGTCAGTACTTAATGAGATTGTTTTGAGACTGACCGCGGGTTCAATCCCGGCCGGGGTATGGTGAGATTGTTTTCTTTGTATTCCCTCCTGGATCGCAGATGATGAGACCAAGTATGTTTAACTGGTTTGTATTTACACTAACAGTGTAAATACGAACCAGTTAAACATACTTGGTCTCATCATCTGCGATCCAGGAGGGAATACAAAGAAAACAATCTCACCATACCCCGGCCGGGATTGAACCCGCGGTCAGTCTCAAAACAATCTCATTAAGTACTGACTTTACACATATCTTACTCGTACGGCATGTGCTGCACAAGTCCTGTTCCCAGAAATCTGGTGAAGGTATTGCCCAAGTCTGGTCAGGTAATGGATGGAAAAAGAAAGATTAAAAAAAAAGGAGGGAGAGGTGGAGTAAAAGATAATAAAAATAGATCAACTGTAGATATACATTCAGATATACTCCTGTTAACCCTGTTGAAGCCTAGTTCTTGGGCCGTTTGTGTATTCATGTGCTACCGTCTACAGGATGGGATATGGGGAGCACGTTAAACTAGCCACTTCGGTGCCAAAATATAATCTAATCAAAACACACTAATAAAAATGTTCCCAATTATTTTCAGCACAAGACGCTAAAAGCACCATGACGTCTTATGCAATATGATAGAAAAAAAAATTCACGCTAAGCGCTAAACCAAT